TTGCACTCCTTGTCTCTTTCGCTGGCATCTGTGATTACTCACAGGAGCCATCACTTTGTCTAATTGGTGTTTCCTGTATATAAATAAGTCTGGGTCTCTGTGTTAGTCCTTGTCCTGGCATTGTCTTCTGTTGACTGGTGATGACCTGTCTGTATCGTGAGTACCCACTGATCATTCTATGTTTGTTTTTGTTGCCCTGTCAGCTTTTTTGTGTTGTTAATAAATTCTTTATTTGTATATAATCATCTTGAATCTTTGCCGGTTTGCCTGCACCACTGGGTTCACCAGCACCAGCCAATTGTGACATAGAGGGTAAATAAAAAGTGTTGACTCTTTAAAAAAAAATCTACAGCATATTTAATATTATCTAAAAATCACGTCTTTAAGAAACAGGGAAAACAAATCTGCAAAGACATAACACAGGAGACTCATCATAGCTGATTGTCCGCTGTATCACAAGTTTTCAGGTCTTTGCTTTTTAGAAATGGTCTTTTGGTGCTAAACTACCATTTTTGTGTAAAACTGTTATCATTTTATTTTCACTTCAAAAAAATGGGACCAAATTCTGTCTTTGTGTGTGTGTATATAAACAACAACAACCAAAAAAAAAAAAAACTAACTAGAAACACAAACTGTTCAAAGTGCCAACTGAATATTGGTTCCCAAATTATTGTGTTTCGACACAATTTAAACTCACTTTAGGCGCCTTTTTAAACCTGATTCATAGCTCAGAGTTAGTGTCTTAAACAACAGAAACATGCCTGAAAATGGTTAGATTGAAAATAACAAAAGACATCGACAAAAAAGTACAAAGAAGCGCTTTGAAAGGCCTTTAGAAAGCTTGAAGAACCTGCAACCAAGACAATTTAAAAGAACAACAAGTCTTCTTGGAAGAAAGAAAAGGAAACACGAGATTAAAAGAAGTCTTTCGTATAATACTGTAAAACTATTGTTTTCACCCTTGTGTGCACTTTGAGTCTGCTTCACAGATTTAAATTTGACTATAATCTAGATTTTTAAGCTTCTCTTTCACATGTTTTCTGCTCTCCAGTTATTGAAAATGTTTGCATTTTTATATTTTGCCCAATGAAACTGAATTAACATGTAATTACATATGTTGTATGGCTCCATTTGTACAACATATTTAATTGCATGTTAATTCAGTTTCATAGGGCAAAATATAAAAACACAGTATGGGTCAATTTGTCTTTGGACTTGCGACCTGTCCAGGGTGTCCCCCGCCTATCGCACAGTGACTGCTGGACATTGGGCACCAGTGACCTCCACGACCTGAAAAGGAAGAAGCAGGTAAAGATGATGGATGGTTCTATTTGTTTCATCGTTTGAACAATAGTTTCTACCTGAGATCTGTCTCGGTTTTGCTCGTTTCTTTCATGTGTCTGTGCTTTGACCCCTGGGGTGAGGTAATCGTGCTCGTTGATGACAGCCAGTCTGATGTATGAAGCTATTTTATCATCGTTCACGGCCTCAACACATTAATTACAACCACAGCAATAAACACCCTTTGTTTTTCTGTGTATGTTCATGAGACAGAGGGGGAAGTGTTGTGTAAAGAGCAACACCTCTGCCCAAACTCTTACTTTTTAACTGAATAGACCTCAGACTCTCCATGTGGACAGATTGAAAATCATTAACTAGCAAAAAAAAAGAAAAAATCTGCAGTGGTTCAAACTTTTCATTCAATTAAATACCTCAAAACTGCAGACTATATTCATCATGTTCGAGCTGTAACTCACAAGAACTCACACTGAATTTACAGGCCAACGTGAGCTGTTTGTGTCATTTAACAGGAACAAAAATTGAAGCATCTTTGGCAAAGATAAGACTTTTTTCTTTGAGATATTATGTATTGCTGCACTCCACATGCCAGCTCTGGTCTGGTCCACATTCCACACAAACTCGCACAGCTGGGATGCTGTTTAGCAGGTCGCCTTGGAGATGGCCGGGAATGAGAGACTGAGATGAGAGGAAAGAAGGAGGGGGGACTGAATGAGCTCTGCTTTCATCGAGTCCCATGAACTGACATCCGTTCATCACATTCTCCGTGTAGAATTTCAGATCTAACATTAAATATGTCAGTCATGGATGTTCACCTCAGTTTTTGGCTGCCACATCAGTTGACAGCCTGGTAAATAAATCCAGTTGTGAAGAAGGGATTCCTTAGAAATTCAACTCACCCTGTTTAAACAAATACACATAAACATAAGTAATTACATAAATCAATTGGATTAAAAAAAAAAAAACTTTTATCACTCTAATGCCTTTTTGATGAAAATCTAAACTTTTTGTGTTATAATGCTAAAGTTGTTGATGTGTTTTTTTATATGTTTTTAATCAGTTTATTTTAATGTAAAATATAAAACTTTTAATGAAAGAAGTCTTATTTGTGGGGTAAATGAAGCCACATATCAGTGTTTTCCAGCTCAGTACCGCCACCTGCTGTCTCAATGTGGCTAATACAATAAAGCCAGTTTTTACAAAATTATTTTAAATATAAGATTTTTCTTTATTTTCATCTCAAAGATATGTGCAGGTCAAGTCTATATTTTAATAAACAATGTCAAAACTAAATGCATTTCTTCAATAAGCTGCCCAATTCTATTAAAGGCTTATATAAGAATCATATAGGAAGCTCATAATATTTTCGTGCACATTGTACTTGCTCCATAAATGAGCTACCTAAGTATGACCAGAAATATAAAGAAACAACACAGCCTGTTGACAACAGTTTATTAAGGATGTATATCTATTGTGTTAAATACCACAACTGAAATTATTATAAAAGCTACACACCCCGCCCCCAATAAATAAACAATTTAAAAAATACAAATAAAAAAACAGAGAAAAGTCTTTAACAACAACATAAAAAATACACTTTTATGCAAAGATGGGTATCCCTGAAGAGTTTGTGCCTCTTGTTTCTGGAACGCACAAAACAGGAAAAGCATCGACTGCACATTGACTTCAATCCAGTAAAGTAAGTAAAGTAAGTAAAGTAAAGTAAAGTAAAGTAAAGTAAAGTAAGTACACATTTGAATTTACTGTGTGAGTTCTGTTAGTTTATTGTGCTGTGAGTGTTATTTTATCTGGGATTGAGTAAAGGTGTTGTTAAGAACTTAACAGGTGCTTAACAAAGACATGATAAAGACATTGTGTGTCTGATCTGTTAAATTAAAGGTGTTATTTAGATGCAATGCAAAATATTGTTTTCAATTATAATTTAAGGTGTCTGTTTTATATCAAGCACTCACGTTCTACAAAAGAGTTTTCCAAGAATGAAGCAGACAGTTGTTTGCTGTTGTAAAATGTAATCATATAGATGCACGCTCCGTTTCCAGCAGACGTAAATTTAAGTAATATGTAACAATTACGACAAAAAATGTTTTTTATTCAAGCAAGTTTACAAAGACACAACTGTCCTAATTTGTTGGCTGACGTCCTCCGTTTCTTGAAATTAAGACATGTTTAGAACAGTAAAAACAATTTACTCTTGATGTGGCCCACAAGCTCAACACTGAAATAACATTCAAAACACAATAGCACTCATGCAACACATTAAAACGTGTAGTAATTTATACAGTAATTCGTGTTTTTTGTAATCAACAGTCAATTGATTAGCGAGCTGTGCAACCATTATGGGCAGAAAAGCACAGAGGAAGATAAATTTAGGTGGATGATAGTGATCACATGCTAATTTTTATAAACATGAGGACCAATAAGTCATCAGAAACAGTTTGGTTTAAATATTAACTTAGAGCTGCAGCTGTTTTTACTCTTTTTTAAAAAACTTTATTGAACACAGTATACAAAACAACCAGGTATTGAAATTAACGAACAGCACCTCTAAAACAGTGACAAGACTTGTGAACTGAGTTCGTTGTAAAACAAGTACAAATGATACAAGATAATCAGATATACTATTTAAGAACAGACTGGAAAGAAAAGGATGAAGAATAACAAAACAGAAAATGGAAAAAAAATTGAAATTTAGTCAGAGGATTTGGGAAAATATAATTTGTCATTAGAAAGAAACAAATTAGCTTTTTTATTATTAATCAATTTAAGGGAATCAATCAGATATTTTAGTTCTGACTGAAAATTAATAAAATTTGGTAACGAGTTTGCAAATTTTTGGTTGTGGATGAAAAATTTTGCATATAAAATGATAAAATTAAGTATACTGTATGTTCAAATTTACAATTTTCAGAGTTACAGTAGTAGCAAATAACATTTTGGAGATTTAAAGACACGCTGGAGAGACTATAAGTCTCTCAGTTGGCCTGGGAACGCCTCCCAGAAGAGTTGGAAAAACTAAAAAATAAATGCAGTGTCGTTTCTAAGTTTGTTTTACAAGAAGTACAAGAGTCATTAATATCTGTGAATTTAGCAATGATACAGTTCACGGGATATATTTATATATATATTATGTCACATTTTAAAGTGTACTTCTTTGGTTTTGTTAGAAATACAGAATTTGTGGGGTAAGAGCCAGGCCCTTCTCCAATTTATGCCATCAATTTGAGCTCTCCAATACAATTTACCTCTGGGTACCACATATTTTTTCTTATGAAAGCACTGGCGTATGTGTCAGTTGTTACATTTTTTTATCTGTTACTTGAATTCCTTCCAGTGAGAGCGTGGGTAGAGTGTTCGTAAATTCACTGTAACACATATGACTTTTAACAAGCTGAATTAACTCTTTGGGGATAGCTTTGGTTATATTAAATTCTCTGAAAGGAATAGGAAAACCATGGACAGACATAAAGTTATCATAAGATAACATATTTCCAGTATTATCAGAAAGATTAAGGATGTGGGTTGATATCTTTATTGAACCAGTTAAATTATTCGGTTAAAGATATGGTTGCAGTTGTTTTTTACTCTTCTTCTTAAGCCAAGATAAGATGACGCAACAGCGCCCCCAGGAGTCACGTGATACGGGCGCCTTCCTATCACCGACGCATGCGCACTCCCACGAGCGCCGGCAGTGACGCAGAAATGGCGTGCTCTTCCACCCGGCTCAGTACACGCTTGTTAGCAACTTGTGGCCGTATTAGCAGCCGTTTCCTTGTTGTTTCCAGCGGACATGGAGGAGTTCATCAGGCGACCGTCCGGCAGGCTCACCGGGGAGGGACAACGGCCAGCCTGGGCTCCTGGAGCCGCAGAAATGTGGTGACATTGACAGGACTCCCAGGTGATATATTAACTAGCAGCTAGCAAAACATTTTTTTTTTCAGTTAGCAAAACATCTTCAGGACAACTTGTCTTCTGATGTAACTAAACTCTATAGTCTGTTGACATACCCAAGTGTTGTCATGCTTGTAGATAAAAGTGACTCTTGTTGTAAAGTCGGCTAACCTTGGTTTACGACGGATGTAGATGCTGTCTTGCTAGCCTGACCTCGTTTGGGTCACCATGGTCAAACTACACTTCATCAAATATTTCTCCTTTCGATTTTAAACGGATCGTGTTTAAAAACTTGGGATTTTATCTGATATGTCACTGCGGCTGCAGAAAAATGCTCGTATGAATATTTCCATGGATGATTGAGAGGATTATTTAGGATATCCACTAGTTCTCAGACTCATCAAACCCAAACATCTCAGTAAATGAATTAATAATTCTGCTTGTAATGCTCCTGATAATGGGCTAATGGCCTGAGAACACAAGTGCTGCAGCAGAAACAGAAATAGCTGCCATGGAAAAGGTACTATTGAGTATTTTATAGAACTATTGTGATGCAAATGTATACTTGTGGTTTTTTTATGCAATAAGATAATAAAAAAACAAAGCTTATCACTTGTAAATGTCTCAGATTCATTTTACTAATGATTTTAATAATCTTTTAAGCATTTTTATGAGATGGATTAAGGTATGTATAGGTTATGCAAAACATATTTTCAGATTTGCACTAAATATAAGAAACTAAAATAGCTAGTTTTACTTTATTTTAGTTCAAGTTTATTGTCATTCACATCACATGTGGTACATGAGACAAAATGATATACTCAGAGTTACAGTTGCACCCCAAAATAGCAAATGTAAAGTATAAAAGAAACATTATACAAGGATCTAAGATATACGCCAAATGGTATTGAATAAAATAAGGTAATTGTCGTGATGCGTGTGTTATTGAACACCTCTTCTTTTCAACTGTATGATTAATTTGTGTCATTTTAAGTGGCTGCAATTGCACTGAAATTATGTGACGTGCAGTATAATGGTTATTTTTTGAGAACTTACAGCAGAGCAATGTAATGTTGAATCATTTTATTTAACGTGAGGCATTACAGTACTTGTGACGCTTCATTGGAATATTGTTTTTATGTATTTTCCTCCACAGGTCTGCGATGCCCGCATGAAATTACCTGCCGCTCTTTCCACTCCAGCTGCAGAGCGGCAAACAAACAGAACCTGTATGAAATTTTAGGTGTCTCCCGCAATGCCTCACAGAAGGAAATCAAGAAGGCTTACTATCAGGTCTGATGTTACTGTGCTTAATGAGTGTTCGTCTGTCCCAGTAACATATGTTATGTGAAACGATAAAGACTGATGGACAAATATCTTGATTTTGAAAAAAAAAAAACAATCCAGCGTTTCAGATTTTCTTATATTCCAACACTTTTTCTTGTATCCAGCTGGCAAAGGAATATCATCCAGATGCCAACCCAGATGACCCAGAGGCAAAAGAAAAGTTTACCAAACTGGCTGAAGCCTACGAGGTACGAAACGTCTCTTTACACATGTGTTGAGTAGCCAGAGAATCTGTCGTTGAATTCCAAGATATCGCTGCTCGGTTGTTTGTGTTTCGTAGGTGCTGAGTGATGAGGTGAGAAGAAAAGAGTATGACACGTATGGAGCTGCAGGTTTTGACCCGAGCCGTGCCGGGGCGGGCCAGCAGTACTACAGGGCAGGTGGGGGTGCCATCGACCCTGAGGAGCTTTTCAGGAAGATCTTTGGAGAGTTTGCAGGAGACTTTAGGAACATCAACAACATGTTTGAGCAACGACCTGAGGTAACGCAACACACTGGAGTTACATCACCAGCTCACGGTTCATTGTAAATTATATGCACATTTTACCATCGTTTTGCTTTCCTTAGATAAAACAACAAATGAAAAATTAACAGGTATTTGAATAATAAATGTAAAATTGTAAATTTATTTCTCAGTATGTGATGGAGCTGACGTTTTCCGAGGCAGCCAAAGGTGCAAATAAGCAGCTGAGAGTGAACATTGATGACGTCTGCCCGAGATGTGATGGAAAGGGCAACGAGCCGGGCACCAAAGTGTCTCACTGTCACTACTGCAACGGCACAGGAATGGTGAGTGTCAAACCTTTAGCCGCGGCTAAATTAACCAATCTTTTTTTAAACTTGTTTTACCGTCTTCCATCTCTTCTTGCACTTTCACTCTTAAATCCTTTCGCTCATTGTCACGTTCTTGATAAATTTAAGAATCGGCTCCTGCCCAGGCCTGATAGATGGCCTGGTTCTTTTCGTGAAGGATGCAAGGGAACAACTCAACTGTACTCTTGTCATTTATTTTTACTTTTCGTGCTTCTCACAGCGGTAGCAGAATTTTCCCATGTAACAACAGTAGAAGCACTGGAGCATAGTAGCAGCAGCATAAGTAGGTTGAAAACCTTTTAAATGAGCAAAATGTGTGCCTTCTTTGAGAAACCAGTAAATTGACTGTCAAAACCCTCCATTAGTTTAACCCCAAATTATTTCACCCAACTAAATTCTCTTACAGGCATCTTAAATCAACTACAATTTCTAAACGAATAAAGTTCTGTTGCTGTCTAAATCAATAATTCGACAAACTTCAAATTACTTTATACTACGGATGCATGATATTGGATTTTTGGCCGATATCCGATATGCCAATATTTGGCCGATAACCGATACCAATACAGATATTTTTTTCATAGACCTACTTTCAAAGAGGTAAGTGGAATTAAAATACTTGATTATTCTGCACGGTCTTTGTTAATTTGACCTGCTACCAAATGCAGATGGCAAAAAGGGGACTGAAAATGATGTAACACTTCATCTTGGGTTATGTTTAATTTCAAATTTATTCATAGCTTTTACTCTGACAACACTCGAACAGTGTAAAATTGTCATTTTTCACAAATCTAAACTCAACCTGTTCACAAGTGAAAAGCACATAAATAGAAGTGCATTAATAGATACGCTTGACAGTTCCTTAAATTAAAAATTAACTTAAAACAGAAGCCTTTTATGTCAGTGAGTTATTTTGATGGAATGTCCAATATTTAACTTTAGCACTATTATTATCCAATACCATGCTGATAATATTGTGCATCCCTAGTTTAAAACCAAATTATTTACTCTCCAAACACAAAATAACTCAAATTAACACCATTTAACAAATTTAGTGCCATTGGAACCTCCATCACAATTTCCCCATTCGTTTTGTCCTACTCTTTTCAAATTCAATCCACCGATCCACGAGCTGAGCTCTGTTTTCTACCCCGTCTTAGATTTTCCTTTTCCCGCACACTGAAAGAGATTCGCTCATTCTTTTTTCCTCTAACCATCTCGATTGCTCATTCGGAACCGTACCTGGTGCGTCACAGTCAGTTAATGTATTCCTGGTCCGTCGCTGTGTTTGTTCCGTCGGGATCGTGCCGTACAATCTGTCTCGACGCAGCACCCATCCAGCATGTCGTCTCCTACAGGAGTCCATCAACACGGGCCCTTTTATGATGCGCTCCTTGTGTCGGCGATGTGGTGGGAAAGGATCCATCATAAACTGTCACTGCGTTATTTGTCGAGGATCGGGCAAGACCAAGAATGAAAAGACGGTCACTGTGCCCGTGCCTACTGGTGGGTGGAACATTTGCACAAACTCATTCACAAACCTGCTTTAGTGCAAAAAAACTCAAAGTCCAGAGATTCTTTGTGTATTTCATTGTGCTAAATCATAAATGGATGTGAACTCACTGCAGCTTATTTTTATTCTAAATGCTTTTGTTTTCTTCCAGGTGTAGAAAACGGTCAGACGGTACGGATGCCAGTAGGAAGTAAAGAAATCCTTATAACTTTTAGGGTGAGTTTAGTTTTCCAAGCAGTTTGACTTTATTCAAGGTTTTATTCATGCTCTGCTAATAAGTAATAATTATTTAGTATTACAAAATATGCTTCTTTCCATGTTTGCAAATGCAACCGCTTTGTTTTGAAGTTATTGAAGTGCACTTTTGCATCGTTTCTACTTTGAGGGCTTTGATCATTTAGGTTCATTCTGGTGGACATAAAGAGAGGATGCATGGAGCCTAAACACCAATTCACCAAATCATTAAGACCACCAGCTTTAACTTGAGTAGATTCTGTTTTTATTGTCAAATAAAGTGTGACCAGAGCAGGAAAAGGTGAAATCAAGACATGTCTAACACCTTGAACACGCCTGGCAGTGGTGATCATCCTGGGCGATCTGATCACATCAGGATGCATTAAATACAAGAGTGAATTCATTCTGCTCATATTAAAATAATTCAATTCAGTTTTTTTATATAGCGCCGCCGCAAAGTCACAACAGAGGTCGTTAACATTCATATATAAAAATAATAAGTTAACATTATTTATCTGAGGAGCAGACCACTTTGAGTTTAACTCCATCGCAGAACTCTCATCTTGAACAAGCATGAAGGCGACAGTGGAAAGGAAAAACTCCCTCATGAGGAAGAAACCTTTAGCAGAACCAGACTCTGGACAAGCGACCATCTGCATGGACCGGCTGGGTTTGAGAGGAACAGATACACAATGGCAGGTCAAGAATCACATGTTAAGATAGAAATAGTATCAAATGAAAACTATTCAATTTTAGCAAATCATTTAAGGAAATTAGGTCAATTTGTCCTCTAGTAGTCTAAACCTATAGCAGCATAACAAGCTGACCCTAACTATAGGATTTATCAAAAAGGAAAGTCTTAAAACTGGACAATGTGTCAGCCTCATGGACAGAAACTGGAAGTTTTAAGAGAGGAGCCTGAGAACTGAAAGATCTTCCTCCCATTCTGCTTTGGTCAACTATAGGAACCACCAGTAAACCTGCAGTCTGAGAGCCAAGTGCTCTGTTAGGAAACTATGGAACCATAAGCGCTGTAATATAAGATGGAACTAGGTTATTGAGAGCTTTGTAGTTTAGAATTAAGATTTGGAATTCTATTCTGGATTTGACAGGGAGCCAATGGAGAGAAGCTACAACTGGAGAGATATGATCTCTCCCACTAACTCCAGTTAAGACTCTGGCAGCAACATTTTGGATCAACTGAAGACATTTTAAAGAAGTTTTTGAACACCCAGATAACAAACCATTACAATAGTCCAGTCTAGATGTGACAAATGCATGGACCAGTTTTTCTGCATCATTTTTAGATAAGATGTTTCTAACTTTATTGATATTACGCAGCTGGAAGAAGGAGGTTCTAGTAACGTTTTTAATGTGGGGGATAAAAGTCATGTCCTGATCAAAAATAGCACCAAGATTTTTAACATTAGAGCTGGAGGCCAGATTAAATTAAATTAGCAGTGTAAACCCTGCTGAGCCAAACTATAAGAGCACTTACTGAACTGAACAGGTGATGCAGGTTTGCTCCGATTCTTGGGAGCTTTGAGACTTTTTTTTTACTTTGTATTCTGTTTGTTTTGGTTCATTACTGAAGTTTGAACAAGATAAATTACAAATAAAGAAATGCAAAGAGTTGTTCTGTGTAAAGAAAAAGCAAAGCATCAAAGTTCACAGAAATCTCTGGTATTTAAAAACGATTTTTGTTCTCAAGCAGTAGACTTTTTTTTTAGCAATACTCAATATTACCATTCATTTATTTAGATTATTAAAAAGTGATAACCTAAAACAATGTTGCATGTAAAAAATAAGAGTTTGAGCTCATTTGTCGGCCTTACCCCAGTTTACATGTTTTTATGAGTTTTGATGTGCTTTTTAAAACCCTCCAGGTCCAGTCGAGCCCGGTGTTTAAACGTACTGGAGCAGACATCCACTCTGATGCTTTCATCTCTGTAGCTCAGGCCATCCTCGGAGGCACAGCCACAACGCAGGGCCTCTATGAAACCATCAGTATTGCGGTGAGTACCGTATTTTCCGCCGTACACGTCACTCCGCCCTATAAGTCGCATCAGTCCATATTTGTCTAATAAAGTGGAAAAATCCATAAATATGTTGCTTTGCCGTATACGTCGCATCTATTATGCGTCACCGCTGACGTGTTGCGTTTGTTACACGTCACCACCGACAACGTTGACATGTGGGCTGAACCCGGAAATGTGGACCGGTGTTGTGCCAAAAACCGAGAGGCTGCCAAATGGCGGTCGCAGGAGCGTGCACGGGAGGACTTTAACAAGAATTTAACAAGATTAACTCTTAAAAACAATTATTTGTTTGCTTGAAATTATAGTAAAGGTGTGTCTCAGTCTAACATTTGCTTAATAAATGCACTTTAATGGTCAGATCAGCTGCATTTCACCGGGGCAGTGCAGCTGGTTTGACGGTTCCAAGCAGAGAGCAGAATGAAGGTGGGGAGACTGTGGCAGGCCGATTGAGTCATTAAAAGCTGGTGAAGATTCTCAGTCATCCAGGACATGGTAAATTCTAAAACGTTCAAGAAAAAAAACAATGAAGTATAGTATAATAAATAAAGTCCAGTTGTTTTTGTCTTTAACTTTTTTGAATTTCAGAGTCAGAGATTTTTGTGGTGCATGTGGTGGAACGAAATTATGTACACAGGGTCCCAGTTGCATCCAACAATAAAATGTAAAAGAAAAACAATAATTGGATGATCATTTGTCATTATAGCCACATTTACCTATTACATGATACAAGGGCATGCCTTATACTATCACTACTCTGCTGCCATCTAATGGATGAAAGTGGTACTGCTTAAATTTATTTATTTATTTTTCTGTCAGAATGAATTGAAACGGTCATACCTCAGCCAAAAAATGGTTTATAAATATGGGAAAAAATCCATAAATATGTCACTTCGGCCTGTAAGATGCAGGGCATGTAAATTATGCAAAAAACTGCGACTTATAGGCCGAAAAATACGGTATGTCAGGGACGGATCTAATGTAGTGTTCCTAAAAGTCCTGAGTGTTTTCAAGTTAAACCGATTTGGTTTTAGTTGAATTCACTGTGGAGTTTGTTATTCATTTATTAAATGTGAATATTTTTACATGGTTTTGATTCACGTTAAAGTATTCAAAGTGAAATATTTTCCTTAAAAATTAAAATAGTTATCACCTCAGTCTAATATTTCTTTTCTTTTTATTTATTTTTTTTACATTAAATTGTTATTTTTGCTTCTGGATAAACTAAGTTCCTGATGTTCTAGGATCTGATTCCTACATGTTTATGTTGGACTTATTATTATTTTTTTTATCTCATCGATTTCCTGCCACAAAGTTTCGGATTAGACACCTCTGCTGTGTTTTCAGATCCCTGCTGGCTGTCAAGCTGACCAGGTGATCCGGTTACAGGGGAAAGGTATTCGGAGGATGAACACCTTCAGTTATGGGGATCATTATGTTCACATCAAGATTAAAGTGCCAACGTAAGACCCACATCTTCTGCTCTTTTTATTCTACCGTCACTGTTTCTTATTGCTGTCACACAGCCAACTCTGCACTTGTCAAATTTTCACTTGTCTTTTTATGTATAGGCCACACCCAGATATTGTTTACATTTGCAAAATTCTAGTTTTATCATTTAATTCTTAATCAGAGAGATTCCAGAATGAAATATTTATTATAAACTAGATTTGGAATTGTTTAATTTAAACGATAAACCATGAACTCGTCTTGGCTTTGTTGCCAACTGTCACAAATGGGTTGTGAGTTACATTTAAGGACCTCATGCTTTACATGTGTAACGGTTAGTTTTGTTATTTGTGGTCTCTTCTTCCTGCAGGAAGTTGTCTCGAAGGCAGCGCTCTTCGTTGCTGAGTTATGCAGAAGAGGAAACGGATGTCCAGGGTACCGTCAACGGTGTCAGTCCTTCAGCAGGTAGGAGAAAAGATTTACTCAACAAATCACAAGCGCACACATGCATACAGTTAAAACCACTTTTATTTGATCGTCAAGTTTTTTTGGGTGATTTTTTTTTTTTTTTTTTTTGGGGCTGAAAAATGAGAAACGGTTGACAAAGTTGTATTAATGTGCATCTACTCAAATATTAATGCTGGAAAGATTTTTATTCAAATAAGACATGGCTAAAATAATAACAGCAGCAGTCGCACATGTTTCTCATCAGAGGTTCAAATAAAAAATGCTTTTGTGATTTGTTTTAGCGCGAGTCATGTAGTTGTCCCAAAACTGCACGTTTTCTCCAGCAGGGGGCAGCACCACATCAGACTCTGGTGGAAAGACCGGGTCAAAGGAGGAGAAAGAAGAGGAGGAAGGCTTCTTTTCCAAACTAAAGAAAATGTTTAGCTAACACTCAGCTGCAGGTCGGATTTTAAACACTTCATTTATTAAAAAAAAATCTGTTTGAATTAAAATTTTCTAACGTCAGTTTATCTCTGCTCTACGTTTTCAGATTAGAACTTAAAATGTGATAAAGAAAGAAAATCAGTCAAGTCTGGAAGTCCCTGCCTCCTGCTTGGGAACTGAGCGGAGCAAAAGAACAGACTCTGGTGTTTGTCGTCATAAACGCAGCCGCACTGCGTTGAAGCAAAAGCTGAACAGGCAGGTTTATTCTCACCCACTGGTCTATGGCTGCTCAAGAAGAAAAGATGCTCATCATGGCTGCTCTCTGAAGCAGAGATGTGTTATTTTTTACACAGCACCCTTTATAGGTTGCACTTTTCTTCTAATGCTCTAAAGACGTTAATTTTTTTAATTTATATCCCAAAACAACTAGTGCTTAATACCTTGATGGATGCATTCTGTAAAATGTGGAATCACCCATTAAGACCTGATGTTTATGGTCAAGCAATGCAAAAGTTGCATCATTTTCAAAACACTAACTTATTAAAAAATAAATTAATAAGAGTGACAAAACTTGGTGACTCGAAATAAAAGCAGGATGCCTTTTCTGTTGTTTTTTTTTCTTTCAGAAGTTTAGAAATGTGTTTGTTGTGGATTGCCTAAAGGAGAACCTTCAAGTTTTATACAGATGTTTTTAAACAAAGCTGTAAGGATTAGACAAAAGTTTCAGTGTTTTCTTAACCCTCTGATCCAGGACAGGTTATTCTTTAGCGCAGAAGAGATCATGCTGTGTCTCACTTCTATTCGTTCACAAACGAATGGTCTTCGTTCTTGTTTCTTTATGAGCCAAAGCTGCAATAAAACCAATTTCTCCAAGAGCAGCAGAGATGAGTGCGATCACTGTTGAGATCCATTTTTCCTCCGTACGTTTTTCGGCGCAATTCTTGCCGCAGTTTTCAAGCTATTTAAAAAAAATAGATCAAAACGTTCTGAACAGTCCTGCAATGACTTTTGGTATCGGTGCAACTTTAGCTTTTTGAAATATTTGGCCTTTTCTGCCATTTTTCTCAGAACTGAGCTCATTTTACATCCTTCAAATCTTTAGATGTGTTTACAACCTTTTACTGCTCCTTTCATTCTGTTCTGGTTCAGCTTCGTGCAAATTTAAACATCAGCTACTTTCAGATGTTTTGTGATCCTTTGTTTCTTTCTTCTGACTTCTTTCTGCTAGTTTCAGCTTGTTGTGCTTCTTTCAGCAAGCTTCAGCGTTTCTGCTATTTCAGCTACTATTTAGCTGTTTTTATGCTAATTTTAGCTTTTTCAACTAAGTCCACTTTTTTTTATAGCTAATTTCAGCTCTTTCCACCTCTTTCTGGTAGTTTTGTTTGGCCTTTTCAGTTACCGGTATTTGTTTTTGCAAATTTCAGCTTTATTTTTTTGTGCCAATTTCCTTTTTTTTGGTGGCAATTTCTGCTAATTTAATCCAAATTAAGCAATTATGTTCTTTCTTCTGCTAATTTAGGATTGTTCTTCCATTTCAGCAAGGTTTTTTTTGTGCTTACTTCAGCTGTTTTTCAGCAATAAATTCACACTGCATTTTTGCAGGAAATGCAGTTTCTCTAGTTCAACATTTTTGCTCATTTCAGGTCCAATAATCTTGCAAAAGTGTAAATTTTCACTAAGTGATGTTCAACTCAACAGTACAATTTGACAATCAATACTTGAATATAATTACTAAATTAAAAAATTCTATGCAGGTTGTAGTAATTATATTTTTATTCCTTTCTGTGTAAATGTGGCCAATTTTAAATGTTAAGTTGGATATAATTCATCATGGATTTTTGAACAAGTCATTTACCAGGCCTGCCAATGTTCCAGGACTGTTCATGTATTTAAAAGGGAAAATCGAACTCTGCTGCAGTGTCAAAGTTTCCAGCATTTCAGATGAAGGGTTGAACTTCTCATTCTTACAATGCACAGTTTAAGTAGTTTGTGATTTTTTTTTCAACAGCTGTCCTTGGAACTAAGCAGTTGGAATAATTTAGTTTATTGGTCATGTGGGCCAAACGGAGCAGTTTCTTCTGCACCTCGGTCTTTCATACCGTCAGTTTTTACATACAGAAGATAAATGTTTGCATCATTGGAGAAAAGCTAAGTAAATGAATTTACAAGTGGCAAAGATAACTAAAAAGATAAATCTGTTTATTTAAAAAGAATCAGGCTTGAATGACATGCTTTAACACTTCATTGAACTAGAATATTAGGATTTTTTGTATTAATCCTAAATGTAATTAAAGCTCATTGAAGATCAATGAGTTTATATGATAGTGCATTGTAAAATCAACATATTTATTGGCTATTCATAAGACTCACAAATGTTACCACAGAAGTAAATTTGATTTCTTGAGCTGCAACACAAGGCCTTATGAAAACCCTTTTATCTAAATTAAAACCAATCCAGGTAACTATCAACAGGTGTTCTAATTCTAGAAGAGCCTCTGGGGTTTTCATCAGTGCTTCTTACTCCTGCTGTGCTGCAGTCTTGGCCTGTGCCCTCGGGGTCATGGCTGTGAGGAAACACAAGGTGAAGTGGAACTGCAGCACGTCGCACACTTTGGACCAGAAGTGTCCTGTGAGTCTCTGGAACATCCAGAACCGAGCCAGCCAGTGGTCCAGCAGCTTCAGCACCACGAACCCGGCACAGGACAGCAGGGCCAGCAGTAGGTACCCACCAGTGAGACCGTCGCCGCGGGTCAGCTGCACCCGAAGTCCTTTGTACGCCGCTAAAGCAACATGGCAACCCAACGCCACCTCGAAGCCCCGCTCGTGCGCTAGCGCGAGGCCGTAGCTGACGACGGAGCACAGCTCGAGCTTTGCCGCGTGCGACGCGCGCCACTTCGCACTCTCTACGAAGTCCACCCACACCGGAACCCAGGCGAAGATGGGCAAGGTGAACCACTGATCGAGCACGGCGGGGGCGCGTCGCAGCGTGGCCAGGCGCGTCCACTGCACGGGGCCGTAGAGGAGAGCCATGAGGGCGAACACCTGCCTCAGGTAGCAGCTCTGCGCCGTCTCCTCCACACCTGTCCAAAACAGCCAATACAGTCCCAGAAAGATGTAAGCAGCATTAACCACACAGTTGAACGGCATCGAAAAGAGCGCAGGCATGGACTCGACCCGTTTTTCTGCATAATGTTCGTAAGTCAAGTCCACTTCAACTTGACCGAACAGGCTTGTGTTCGCCAGAAACACACACAACATGAACGGAAACGACACATGCAGCATGGCCGACCTCATACCGCTTATTTATCTTTGTTCACAAACTTTAACTGAACGGAAATCAAAAGGAGAAACAACACACAGCATGAACTTGGGAAAGTTCGAGTTTTGTTTTCTTCCGGGTTTCAGAATCACGTGGTGCCTGAACTTGAAGTTTGATAGGCTGATATGCGCGCGTAGTGCCTCTTTGACAGTTAGCTATACACCATTTATAACCTGGCTGAAATGGCGGCTGTGGGTGCGTGATATCAACCCAGAGCCGCAATCTGAGGCACGCGGGTCACGTGCGGTTCTTTGGTCCCTCTATAATCAAAACATACACGTAAATGAATATTTAAACTCAAGACCACAATAAAAAAGACTAGTCTGTTCAATTTTTGTATCAAATTTTCAATAAATTTGCAAATAAAATATTTGACTGAATTATACAAATAAATAAGGAGAAAAAGTTGTTAGTAGCTGGCCTTATCTGAACTTCCAAATCAATTATTGTGATCTTTCTATGAAATCAGACAGAAAATAAAACTTTTGTTTAATTGCACATTGAGAGGGGGAATAATAGAAAGCAGGGAGTTATGCACATCCAATATCACTATAGTGTAGATTATTTACCATAAATGAGACATTAAAAAAATATATAATAATATTGCAAAATAACTATTAATCCATCCATACATTATCTTTTGCCTGCCTCGTTTTGAGTTGTGGGGGTCACTGGTGCCTATATCCAGCCATCATTATGTGAGAGGTGGGGGAAACCCTGGACGGTCGCAAGTCCATCACAGGGCCGAAAAATAATAATTTTAACTATTAAAATTTTAAGTTCAAGTTCAAGAATCTTTATTATCCCCAAGGGGGCATCCACATATCGGAACCAATGGCTCGGCGTTGTTCCCTCATAGGAGTTTAGGGCTCTCTGTTCCACTTCCTCCATGTAGAGATTGGCAACAATGGGTGACACTGGAGATCCCATGGCACAGCCGTGCTTCTGTCTGTAAAAACTGTCATTGAACTTGAAATAAGTGGTGGAGAGGCAGAGATCCAACAGGGTGCAGATCTGGTCTGGGGTGAAGTTGGTCCTGTTGATTAAGTCCTTGTCTTGTAGAAGTTGTTTTCCGACTGTTTCTACTGCTTCAGAGATGGGTATGCAAGTGAAAAGAGAAGTCACATCATATGATACAAGGGTTTCTCCTGGGGTTAGTTTCAAGTGTTGAACTTTGTTAGCAAAATCAATGGAGTTCTTTATGTGATGAGGTGTGTTTCCAACAAGAGGAGCTAAAATACCAGCCAGATGTTTAGCAATATTGTATGTCACTGAGTTCATGCTGCTGACGATGGGTCTGAGTGGTGTTCCTTCTTTGTGGATTTTTGGAAGTCCATAAAGACAGGGAGTGGCTTCCCCTGGGTACAATCTATAGGATGACAGGGTCCGCATGACAGGACCGGACAGGATGACAGGGTCATCAGCAAATTTTAAAAGGTGACGTTGTGATTACTGGCTGCGACAATCGTTCATATATAAAATAAATAAAAGGGGTGAAAGAAGAACATTGCTGAGAAGGAAATGATGTTCAGGGGGAAAAAGTAGTACATAATTTAGAGAGCCACATAAATTAGACCAGTGGATGTGTTTTGCATGCCAGCAAATGTATTAGTTTAGCCCCCAGAAACCATCTTATCTCCAGTAAACTGGTTGGTCCACTTAAAGAGTGTACTGCTTGGTGGGGAAACAGTTTACTTGGGACTCCTCAGACTGATGAAGCCCTCTGGATAGAGGGCGAAACGTCTTTCTACAAAAAAGAAACTGTCCAGATGACCTGACTGAGCATTATTGGATTTGGTTCCTGGATGATTGAGCGTGAACTTGGATGTATTAGTTTATCTTTGGTAATAATTGTCATTGTGCTGTGTAATTTTCCTCTGATGAGGAAACTGTCTTTATTAGTGAGGTTAAATGTTATTTTTTTTTTTTTTTTTTTTTTTGTCAGGTGAAAGAAAATTGACTTCAAATTGGATGTGTAATGAAGAGACCTACGTGGAGTGTTGCAGTGGAGTTTTCCAGAAGGATTACTCTCTAACCACACCCTTAGTTTCCACAATTTACCATGTTGTCTTTAAATTAATGAAATGATTGTTTAAATTAAAATGCATGGAATGCGCCCTCTGGGTCAGGGTCTCAAGAAATGGAGTTCCAAGTATCTATAGTCCTATATGGAGTAAGACTCCTAACTCGCTGGTGGGAGTACAGTATCTATCTGGCCTCGAATGCCTTGGGTTCCCTAGAAGGCACTGAAATGTGTTGCTATGGAAAGAGATGTCTCATGGGTTTCTCTTCTGAACGTTTTGCCTCGCTACCCAACCATGTATAGGCAGCAGAAAATGGATGGCTAGAAAAAAACAACATATCTTTCTGATAAGTGTCAACCATGGGGGGAAAAAAGATGTATGCAGGGAAAATCTATCAGTCTGTTTTACATGTTGTAAAACAGTTTAGCAGGGTTGCTAATCAATGCATTTTACTTTATTTTTACTTTGGTGATGAGAATATTAAAACTTGTTGCCAAGTCACTGATGTAAAAGCAGATTTTCAGTCAGAGTGTAAAGTGTTCTGACAAATTTGATTGTATAGAAAACTTGGCAGTTACTTTAAGTGACACATTTGAAAACACATTCATTGAGAGTCCTTCATTAGGACATCATAACTTTTGATACTCAAAGCAGAAAGTTGGATAATATTTTACATTAGAAGCTAAATACCCCTCAATTTGTGAGTCTTAAAACCATCACCTCTTTTTTTTCCCCCTTTTTAGGACTTTAAGTTAGTGTGTTTCACAACCATTCCCAGTCATTATAATGTCATGATAGCCATAAATCACTCGTGTTCACTCATTACGTCTTAATGAAGGGGTTGTTAAATTGCTTGTGTGTCTTTATCTGTTCAGTGGAAAAAGAGTGACTGCTTTTTTAATTCTCTGGTTTCTGGTTTGGATTCAAATGTTTGGTTAGAAAGAAGAGGAAAAAATGAATTAATGGCAGAATTTTTTTTATATGTTTTCTAGATGAAAATGGAATAAGCATGGTACAATTGTTAAAGAGTTAGGCAGGACTATTCATTAAAATCTGGCTACTTGAGCAAACAAACAGACATAATTTGAACTATACAGAATATAAAAACAAATGTATCTAACGCATTCAGAAAATAAATATGATTGCATGAAAAAAAATCCACTTTGAAAATGGATACATTTGTTAGCGACTGTGTTCACGCCGGGCAAAAGATAGTCTGTGACATTTATGGATGTAAAAAGAAAGTAAGATTTCTGCCCATCAATGCCAGTGGTTAGTGTTTTATTCTCAATAGCTTAGTATTCAAATCCAGAACCACATATTACTTTAAATGCTCAATGGAATTTGCAGAAAACCAAGACCTTTACAAAATGAATAAGTTGACGTTTTCTTTCATTCAGCAAGACTTTACCAAAGTCCATAACAGCCAATTAAGTTCTGGCCACTACAAGCAACTTAAAGACATTATTTAACCTTTTCCAGCAATAAAGGCCAAAAGCTATGTGGGCCAAATGGATGAAAGCCTCTGCCTGCCAATCAAATGCGACTGACATGTGGTTGCTGGGAGTTACTGGGAAAAGTAAAATGGAATCACGGGGAGCGCAAATTGATTTTTTTTCCTCTTGGACCTTGCAAATAAAGCCACCTCACAGCTTCTCACGGGTCAGTACAAAAGGTTAAAAAGAGTGTGTCGGGTAATTGGGCTTGTAGCGTTGTTCTTGTGTTGCTATTGCAGAGCTGATGGATAATTATATTTTGAGTGTAAGAACAATGTCTGTCCAAACAAAAAGCCAGTGACCGAGTGACAGGAAGCACCGACTGCATTTGTGTTTAGATGGATGGGAGTTGGTGACAAAGTGGGCGATCTGGGCCTGAAAGCATCAGATTCTAATGGTGAGTCTGGTTTACCAGGATTATTACTTGGCTTGTCTTTTTGACTGGGAAATGGAGTTTGTTTAATATGGACAGCATTAAGCCTGGGATTTTGTCTGCTTTGTTTTTCAATGGGTGTCTCTGGATGTTGAGAAGGGCACTTATGGTTTACAGAATAGACTTGGAATTATTTATGCTTCAGGAAAGTGACAGAGACTAAAACCTTGTGGTCATTACAGTCAACCCATCAAACAATTAAAAAACACGGTGCGTAAATGTTTTCAAATGTAAAAGATTTCATCGATGAATAGTACTTAGATGGGATGATGTTTCAAAGTTTAACCATGAGCAAAATTTTTAAGTTTCATTTTTGTCTCAATTTCTACACAACACTTTCAGTAAAAGGATACAATTCTACACAATAAAATTTAGAATTATTAGAAACATGCTGTTCGCAAACGATCCGAATCTTTTGAGCGGCTCTTTACAACCAACAACAGGAACTGTGTTACAGACAGTTGAGCGACATCCCTAGTTTTACTTTCCTCCTCGTACTTTCTTTGCGTTTTCCTTCTCAAATGCAGACAAACGCTCCTCCTTTGCTTTTACACCGAGACGAGGCAGACGATTAAAGGGGAGGAATTCAGCAGCTCTGGAGTGGAGGAGAGGTTTCTCGCTTGACAAGACAACGTGGTACAGCCCTGACAACTTGCGTTACTACAGTCGTACATGATGATGCCACTACCGTGTACTTGTTCACTGTCCTTAAAGGAATGCATATCACCTACCATTTTTTTATGTCAGAGATTTAAACTTTTCTCATCTTATGCCAAGAAGCTGGTGCTATAGACATTTTGTTCACCAGTGGCAATCTGGGACTAATAACTAGGCCTACAGTTAGGATGTAATATTGTACAAACCTATATAGGGGAGTGGTGGTGCAGAGGTTAGAGAAGGTAGGTCTGTGATCGGAAGATTGCTGGTTCAACTCCGGGTACTGACAACATCAAAATGTGAGTGGGATTGGTGAAGCACCCACACCTGTCTCCACCTAGAGCTCTCATTTCTAACCCAAACCCGGAGCCTGGCCCGGCCCAACCCAGATTAGGGCTGAGCATGGCCATAATAATGTGCTTAATGTGCGGGCCGGGTCGGTGTCATGCTTTTGAGTGCGTCAGCGGA